TTAAAAAAAGAAGATCAACAAGCGCTCCAGCAGCTACAAACAGGTACCTTTCTTTCTTTCTTTTTTATTTTATTTATTTTTATTTATTTTATTTGTTTTTGTTTGTTTTATTTATTTTATTTGCTTCTTTTGTTTTTATTTATTTTATTTGTTTTATTTATTTTATCTATTTTATTTGTTTTTATTTATTTTATTTATTTTATTTATTTTATTTGCTTCTTTTGTTTTTATTTATTTCATTTATTTATTTTATTTATTTTATTTATTTTATTTATTTTATTTATTTTATTTGTTTTTGTTTGTTTTTATTTGTTTTGTTTATTTGTTTGGTGTTTTGTTTTATTTATTTTTATTTTTTTATTTATTTTATTTGTCTATTTTAGTTATTTATTTCAACCTGTTTTTATTCTATTTATTTATTTATTTATTTTTTATTTTTTTTTATGTTGCTGTTGCTGCTGCGTTTGCTGCTGCTGCTGCAGCTATTGCTGCTGCTGCATCTGCTGCTGCTGCTTCTTCTCTTTTTCTCGCTGCTGTGTTTATATATAAGTAAAATAAATAAAATATTAAATAAATATTATATAAAATAAAAATAAATATAAATATATAATATAAACAATAAACATAACAAATCTATATTAAATATATAAAGTATAATATATCTTTATATAGCTTATATAACCCCTAAACAAACAAAACAAAAAAAAAACAAACACCCAAACAAATAAATAAATAAATAAATAAATAAATAAATAAATAAATAAATAAATAAATTTATTTTTTTTGTGTATACAGAGATGGGGGTGGGTGTTGTGTGTACATCTACGCTAACTGGGGCTGGAATAGAGGAAGCAAAGAACACCGCATGCGAGTTGCTGCTGCAGCAGCGCATGCTGCAGCGTGCTGCAGCAGTAGCAGCAGCAGATCCTGCTGCTGCTGCTGCAGCAGCAGCAAATGCTGCTGGAGATACTCCTCTTGCTGCTGCTACTGCTGCTGCTGCAGCAGGCGTCAAGGGAGCAGCAGCAGCTATGCTGCATGTTTCAGCTGTACATACACCCCGAACCCCCAACATACCTATCTCTGTTCTTAAAGAAATGGAACTAAAAAAGGTATTCATCCTCCTGCTGCTGCTGCTGCTGTTGCTGTTGCTGCTGCTGCTGCTGTTGCAGTTGCTGCTGCTGCTGCTGGTGGTGGTTGGGGTGTATTTGGTGCTGCTGGAGAATCTTTATTGCTGTTTGTGTTGCTGTTGTTTGTGTCTGTGGTTTGCTGCTGTTGCTGCTGCTGCTGCTGCTGCTTCTGCTGCTGCTGCTGCTGCTGCTGCTGCTGCTGCTGCTGCTGCTGCAGCAAGGAGTAAAGATAGAAAGGGGTCGCTTAGAGAGAGACATTGAGCAAGAGTGCGGCGGCCCAGGAGTATACAGCTATGACATGCGAAGTATGTTGCTGCTGCTGCTGCTGCTGCTGCTGCTGCTGCTGCTGCTGGTGTTGCTGCTGCTGCTGCTGGTG